CGTTGTGCGCAACGAAGCCACTTAACGCAACCTTTGGCACACACACGTATAATGTATACGTATCACATATATCTGGTAATAATCTTGTCGAATATATATACATATGTATATGTACATATTCAACAAATTGTCAGTTTATGTGCCAAAGTATGTTATATCTATGTATACTTGTTTCTATGCTATCAGCAGGGAATGCTTGGGTTCGATAGTTTTGACATGTATTGTACATACACATGACAGTGTGTGTGTGTGTGTATCCACCGACGAGAGAGCCAGGCCAAGTAAATTAATGAACAAAATATACTGCCATATATTGTAACATGACAGATGCAATACATGCCTCAATAAAGATGATGTATGACACATTAAATGACAGGGAAATGAGACATCTAAGGAAGGATTTAAACAAAATAAAACCTTCTTTAGCCTTTATTGATTTTAAACCACTTGATTGTTTTTTGTCATGTATTTTGTCAAGTAATATGGAAACGGAGTTAATTCTTAAAATTATTAAATTTTTATTATACATTTTTTTACATGTACTTTTTACAAATTAAATTGAATTTTGAGGAATACTTAAATAATTATATGTTATTCAAATAATTGTTTATTTATAATATTTTTGAGGTTTTAACCAGTAGTTTCTTTAGAGATTTCAAAGATAGATTAAATACAGATATTCTTCTTTAACAGGATGGTATAAAAGCTGATCCTGAAGCAGGACGTTCAAAAACAGATGCGGTTCCCAGAAGCCGTTGCTTTATATCTAGAACAAGCATTCATCGTATACATATGGCGACAACATTTTTGCTCTTTCTTCTTGCGTTATCGATACTGCTTATCGGCATGATCGGTGGGCTGTATATCTACAAACAGTATGCCAGGACTCAGATGCGCAGATTCAGTACTGGCTGGTACAGCATTCCATATGACAGCTCAAACAAAGCATCCTATGGCAATAACGCAATTCATCAGGGACTTTTGGCTGATTCCGACCTATTTACCAAGAGTCTTACCGGAGCCATGGAACAGGATGCTCTAGATATTGCAACTCACATAGATATTAATCATGATATTAATATTTTCTTTAAAGAGAAATTTGAGATTGATCTTGAGAATGAGCATTATGAGAAGATTGATGTGCCTGATTTTCGCGGTGGACGACAAGGTCGCTTCATACACGATTTCAACATCGTGAGTGACCGAAATTTATAATCGGTTCTTATTTTTAAAAAAACATTAAATATAGTTTTAAGATTCAAGTCATAAATTAATCATAGAGCATCGTAAGATATTATTTAAGATAGTTTTAAAATAAAAACTGCTATGAATATCGGCCAATATTGTATTTCTATGTCACAACAAAATAATTTTTCGCGGGACATATTTCTTATGATACCTATGTTTATTTACAGAATAAGACAGGTATTATTGATATTGACGGTCAGTGTTGCTTTGTCATGCCACTGAATCGTCAACGCGTATTGCCACCTCGTAATATGTATGATCTCCTTAGAAAAATGTACAATGGTAAGTATGTGATTTAATTTAAATTAATTAATTTTAATTATAATATTTATTTATTATTAAATTATGACACACTTGCAATTCTTGTATATCAGGTTACTATGAAGTGAACACTGATGTCGTACGAGAAACTATGAGAGTAGTCACGCCGCCAATTACTGATATGTCGATCGTTGGAACATACATAGCGCGTGAATGCCAGGATCTGCCTACTTATATGCTGCAGAAAGTGAATTCTTCTAGTAGTTAGTTATCAAATTTCAAGTAATACCCATACAACCCTGGTGAAAATTTTTTTAAGAATTTTTCATATATATTTTTTCAGGATTTTTTGTAAATTCTAGAATTTTTCCGAATTTGTAAATAATTTTACAACTTCTAAAAAAATTTCAAATTTTTTAAACACACTGAAACACACACTCTTCAAAAGTGCCGAGGAAGTCTACATCCTTTCTGATAAAATTCTTTATATATGTGAATTCTAAAATATCTTAAGATTTCTAAAATTTTTTGTTGTATACGTTCTGATGAAATTTTATGAAATCTGTAAAAATGTAAAATATTCTTTCAGAAATAGAATGAGAAATTTATGAATAATTTTTGTATAATAATAAAAAAAAATGTTGATTTTTTTCCAGTATTTCTGAAAAGTGTTCTAATTTGTATAAAAATGTTAAGAAAAATTTTTTCCAGGGAAGATAAAATCTCTCTCATATAATATATTATTGTGTTTTCAAATATTTCAGTTGTAAAACGCAGCGCATCACAGAGCGGAGTATTCGGACAGTTTGCTGGCAATAATATCATGGAAATCGATATTGTGAATTTAGAAGACTTCGAATGAAATTATAAGAAATCGAGAAGTGGGAATTTTCAATTATTCTAGAATATTAAAACCACCAGTAGATCAATGTATAAAATTTATAAGCTGTCTAGGGCAAGCTTAGGTAAATATTCCGTCGAATTTAGAATTATTACTTTGCATTTTACTTGTCCATCAATTAATTTCTCATTCTTGGCATTTTTCTAAACTATATTTCAAATGTATATTTATCGAGATCTTCATTGTGAGTCTTTTCATTTCTATTAGTTATTCTATTTTCTATTAATTTTAAATGATAACTTTACGTCTGATTTTTCAGTTGAACTTCTTGCGGTTCACCTTTTCTCTCCATGTTGCAGAAAAAAGAGAAAAGATAAATCGTACAAGAAGTTCAACTAAAAAGAACAAGACTATTATATAATGCTAATACCTAATTTGTTATTATCGATCTAAAGTATATAATACATCATGAGAAACTCCTCTATATCATGAGAGGTTAAATGTGAACGACTGAATCACTATAAACAAAATACAAGAAGTTTTAGCAGGATGATATATTGTCTGCTGGATCTTATAGGAAAATTAATATTTCTTCCATATTCTTGTGGTATGATATTCAATTTTAACAGATAGCAAGTGCAGTGTTACGCCATAGTAGTAAAACGTTTATTATTATGGATTCTGGCACATAGCTTGTTGACTATATTTATGAATGTCTGCGTTAAAAAAACGATAAAACCAGTAGAATAGCCGTGCACTAAGTGGTTGCGCTTACGATGCAGTTTTACGATACGTTATCATTAGTAAAACTATAGATATATTCATTTGTGAATTCTATTTAGAAAATCTATCGCGTTATGGATAATGCTTGTGTAAACACAGTAAGCTCGAGGTATAAAAACATGAATTATTAATATTACGAAACTGAAAATAATTTTTAAAATGTGTTTCGAGAAATATATTGAGTTTGCAATTGTGATTAATATGTAAAACAGGTTAAACATTCATAAGATTGCTGCGACTATATAAATATTTTTACAATTTCAATTGAGAAAAAAAAACAGAAGTTACAGAGTACCAATTCAAGAGAAAAAGTCTTGATGTTTGAACATTCCATGTAAGACATGCTTATCTCTTCTGCATTTCTAATCGTGTTACATACTTCAATAAGTATTAGTAATACAGTACCGTATTTTAAATACGTTTTATGTATACCAGTTCATTGCCAATTTATCATGAAAACTGGAACTGAGAAACTGGAATAAATAAGAATCGTGACTGAATGCAATTTTGCCATTAGTTTATTTTCGTGCATTGTCATGCATACAAAGAGAAATTATTTTTAATTTTTTTAAACATTTTATTATATATTCGCGCGTACAGCATTTAGTGTCGGCAAACGTATCCAGGTACTCGGATGTTCATTAGTCTTAGATAGCACTGCGTGCTATAGATATTCTAATATTAACACTTTTGTGAAGTGACTTTTTAAGTTTTTTCAATTCACGATACTTCGTAATGAAAATAATATGCAAATAATAAATGACCTAAGATTTTAGTAGCATATCAGAAAGAAGAAAAAGTCTAGAATCTGTTTCGTATGATGGAATATATTTATTGCAAAATGATTTTATATAAATTATTGAAGTAGTATTAAATGTAATATATAATTAAAAATATTGTGTCTCATTTCAAGTATCAGATTAGGAGAATTGATTTCTTTAAATTTATATAAAAAAAAAATCTTTGTTTTGTAAACAAATCAATAGAAATAAAGGGAATATGTATGTATTAATGTCTGTGCACAGATCATGTTATGGACCGAGTGCCTGAACACTTATAATAATTCTGTATTAGTTATGTACCGTTACTTGCATTATCAACTCCAATAAACAAACACGCAAATATATAAGTATGCGGTGCGTAAATACCGTTTTAAATGTCCGTAGACACGTAGATTAAACACTGGTGGCAATAAATAGTGTATTAGTTAGTTTCACCACTTTCCAAGTGGGGATGGAAATGCAGAATATCTTGTTAATATCAATTAGCTTTTGTTTAATTTCACGATGACGTGTAATTTTGTCTGCGCATTTAAACTTTATTATAGAATTGTTACACGATTCTTTGTCATGTTTCGTGTGATTGTAGTTAAGTTCCTATAGTCACTATTTCTATCTCCATAAGTTTTGACAAGTTTCCTTAGCTTTATGGCGTTATAAAAAACCAAATTTATAAAACTGTACGCGAATAATTGTAAAGTCTGACAAGAAAATAAATGATACATATAAATGTCAGTATCAGTGCGTATCGAATATCTTACTGATTTTTAATCAAAGTTTTATTAAAGCCAAAGATATACAAAAGAATTTTTTTTAATTAATCTTAATTTCTAAAACTTATTACTAAAATTTTTTATTTATATATTTAAATTAT